TTTCAATAGCACAGCAGTGTTCTGGCCAGTTATTCTGCAGGATGTGTGAAGACAACTAATATACCAAATTGTTTCTCGTGATGTTCCCTAATCTTATTGAGGGTGCTTTACTTACTTTCAGCATAGTAAAGCATTCATTATAAAGAACCAGTCAGACCCTAAATGAAATTAGCTTTTATTAAATAAAATACTACTTAATTTCTTTCCATGATATTTGCTTTTGCTCAGTATATTCCCAAACAGAATAGCTCTGTCAAGCCTGCTGAGCACAGCTGGTTAAATCAATGACCAAAATGCAATAAAATCTGCTCAGATTGAGTTTAAATATTTTCTGTTCTGCATTTCTGCCTGACACAGGCTTTGCAAAAACTTTATTAGTGTAAAAGGTGCAATCAGAGATAAGATTATGGTGCTGTGTTTAATAAATCACAGTGTTTAGCACAGAAAAATAAGAGGATAGAAACCTTACATTCCCTTTGAGTGAAACTGTTCAACATGAAACATCAGGAGAGAGGTAATTTAGAGAAGAAGAGTCACTCCTGCTACTCCCATCACAAATACATCACTGAGGAGATAATCATGCGCAATATTTTCCAACCATTTTGAAAAGCAATCTAAAACAGTACAGGGAAATACTTAATCTGTTTATCAGACTGTGATGGGAAAATAGTTGGAGAATAGAGGAGGAAATATGAATTTGATGTTTACAAAGTGTGTCTAGTAGGTTTAGCTTTCCCATTTTATCAAGGTACCAAAATAGCCCACAGTTGTTTGCTTCTGACAGGTTAATTACAAAGTAAAAGCAAGCGTGCTGTTTAATAAAAGACGTTAATTACAAGAACAATGTAGAGAAGAGTAATCTTAAAAATATACAAGTTAATTCAAAATATTTTTCATCCCTTTATATTATGAAAGGCAGTGGAGCTTTGTATAATAGTAACCACATTAAAATGCTTACAAGTACACGGCATGTACAGCTACTTCCAACTATACCACCTTCTGGATGACTTAGTGCATCCTTTCTCTCTTTGTAGGAAAGGAAACTCAGGCTGGGATTCCACCCAGCAAGAAGGAACTGAATATAACAACTCAGAAACTTTCTAAAAACCTGAAGAGAATAAGTGCCCAAAGAAATATCAGTCAGACATTCCATTCTTCTGAATTCAGTTAATCCTCAACCTAAATAGTGGATATATTTACTGAGAGTATATAAGACTACAGTGACAGTGAGATTCCAGTACTGCAAATGCAAAACTCTGCTGGCTTGCCAAAAATTTAAGCCATGAGGTTTTCCTGATGAGCAAAGTTATAGTCTGCAGAGTCGATCAGAGAAAGTAGGACTAAAAGGGATCTGAAGAGGTCACACAGGGCATCCTCCAACCCACAGACTGGATCAGCTATACATAGATCAGTAAATGCACGTCTACTCCATTTTTAAGAGCCTTCAGGGTTGAAATTTTATACCTTTCTTAGGTGGGATGTTCCAGAATCTACCTGTGTTGGTAGCCTGAAAGTACCTCCCAGTTCATCTTGCTGCAGTTCAAATCACTGTGCTTCCTACATTAGCCACAGTGGACATGCAAGGTTTCAATTTCATTTACTTCCTCTTTGCAGATTATTTTAATATTGAAGACTAACTGTTGGGCCTCCTTTCAGCTCTTTTTATTCACCATGATGTACTACAAAACTATTGTCTTTAAATGACTCCATAAGTTCCACTGGTGGTCCTCTTCATTAGCCATGGATCACTTCATAGGTGGAGTTTCGCTGTTTCGTGTAGCCATTGCATATAGCCCACACAGTGCCAGCAATGCATTTTATCATATGGATCAATTAATTTCTGTTAATCTCAGGAAATATTCTTGAATTCTGATTTTTCTTTGGGAGGTAGAAAGGCAGTAGAACCCATAAAAAACACTTTTTGAATCCAGTGTACTGTGTGTTCTAAAGGTTAAGAGTCATACCAGATGTCACGGATCCACTCCTGGTAAAACAAACAATTTTTCCATAGAGAAAACTACTTAGCCCACATCCATCAGCTGATTGCTTTTACTTTCCTCCAGCTGAGACTGTCCATTGGTAAAATCAGGAGGATGCTATAGTCAGGATGACTGACAGATGAGAAGTGCTATCTGACAGCAAGCAAAACATGCTCCCACCTAGGAACTTCCTGCAATCTGTGTGAGTGTAACCTCTCTTATTGCTGGGGCCTTCTTGAAATCATTGTCTACCTGATTTGGGGGAAAAAAAGTCCCACCAAACAATAGAATCATTTTACCACACACAAAATTCATAGATGAAATTCACCTGCCTTCAGAACAGTGTATATACCTGTATGTATGTATTTGTACACATACACGAGGAAGTGTAAAAGAGTTAAGAACTCTATCCAGTTTTAACACGCCAGATTGAAATAAGATAAATTAACAAAACAGTCTATAAATCAATGTTTGATTTTTTTTAATCAAATACCCCTTGTTCAGAAGAGCATACTTCTTCCTCACCTTCTTAATTCAAAACTTAATTTAGTGGTTTCTTTATAACTTAAATGAATAAATTTCCATTGCACTGTTTGCAGAACTAGGAAAAAGTGAAGAATTAAGTACCGTTTCATGATTGTTAACTTCTTGAAATTTGTTCCCAAGTTTCTTAACTCCAGAACTTTCCTACTACTGTAGCTAGATGCTAATACTTATTTTTAAATGACACCACCACATAGCTTTCCAAACTGATGTATTCCTAAATTTTATCTGCTAATGACTCAGCTTGGGTCATGATCGCTTCTAAATGATCAATCAGGGCTCAGCGATTTTTCTAGAATCAGGACTGAATACAAGGTGCCTCTGTCAGTCAGGGTTATTATGGAGGAATTCTCCACTCTTTTGTGTTGCTGCCCTTTAATACAAAAGACCTTTGAAAATGCTTGCTGCAGCTGCCGAAAATAATCTGCTGTCATTTTTTTTTTTTCCAAATGACATTTGAAAAACAGGTTATTGTAAAAGATAGTTGTAAGCTCCCTACCTTTTTTTCTTTAAGGAACACATATTCCTCTCAGCAGTTTATAAATATTAGCCATTTTTCAGCACTCAGCTTTTTACTTTCCCTCCACCCCCCACCCAACTCGATCTCTTTTAGTCTGTACAGTATGTGGTTGTATTTGGTTCACATGTAAGATTAAACAATTACAACCCATTTATCTGCATTGGTTCAGAGTTTTCATCTCTATAGCTTAGCTTATTTTATTTGTCCTTAGGGAATTTCACAGAATTTGTCAGCAAACTTTCTTAATAATATTTTATATATTTGAAAGCTAAACCACAGCATTTACTATGTCTAAAATTATTAAAATCTGGTGGAGGAATTTCCTACAGATTTTTAGTTATTACAGTATAAGATAAAGACAAACAAACTGGTCTGGAAAAACTCACCATTGTCCAATCAAGCTTTACACATAGAAAAAAATGGAAGCTCTTAAGACACTTCATGAGGTTTACCGGGCTTTAAAAAAAAAAAAACAAAAAAACAGTAATTCATTTTTTAAGGGAGCTCCAGAAAAAAGAGCTAATTTCAACCAGCAGCATACAAGTACACGACAAAGGAGAAAATGAAGAACTATTATTCTGAATTCACAGGATCTCTCCTGGTTTCTGTTAGCCAGGTGAGGGGGATAAAAGAGAGCTGATGCCATTTTAGTACCTGATTTTCTCTTCTGAGCCAGATCAGGTACCAATGGACACAGTCACAGAGGAGGTGAGTGGCCAGCTGATAAACATGTACTTAACTCCTTCTGGCTTCCTTGCGAGTTGAGGAGACCCAAATCCATACAGTCAGCTAGGCCAGAATTGTCTTCTAGATAAACAGTATCTGCTGTGACACATAAGAGCTATTTAACCAAGTCACTGAGAAATGCTTTTGCATAGTTTAGAGGCCCAAGCCATGGCCTCTACATTGCTATGAGATGGGAAACACGCCTAGAATCACAGCCTTCCCCACTAAGGCATCCTGACAGCCACAACTGACTCAGCGGCTTTCACAGCCCAGGAAATCTAAATCATTTCAGTGTAAAAGGTCCTCTTCTCAGGGATGCGACGCTCCAGTTTGAGCGTCATCTCCCACATGAAAAGACTAAAAATCTAATTCTAGTTCTTGAAAGCAGGATGCCCTGTGAACCTCTGATCTTTGATTACTTCAGCCAGACACAAAGGTGTTTTCCCTGCTGGAAAACCATTGAATGTCTGTTTTGCTTAAAAAAAATAAAAAATAAAAAATTCTTATAGAGATTAATTTACTAAATTTAATTGATAATTCCATCTTTTTAATGATACAAATACACAAAATTTATTTCCTAGGACAAGTTTCTCATCTGGACATCCTCTGTAGTGACACTATTTAGTTGTGAACAAAACAGGAAGTATTCATAAAAGAATCTTTCTTTGGTTTACACCATTTGATATGACTGGCTGGGATATGTCACCTATCAAAATTTACTTCTAGTTTCAAGAGGTTTGTAGCCTACCAATAATCTAGCTAAACTGGGTAACATTTATAGGCTGCAAAAGAATATATTATAAGTGATAAAGCATGTCTGAGTACACTCCTTCTGAAAAGCCTGAAAATATTTAGATCTTTTTCTTCAAGTGACATTTAACAGCTCTTTGAAGAGGGCATGACCTTATTCCATGTGTGCAGTAGTTTCGATAATGGGTGTTTGATCTTTCACTGGCATACAGCAAGTTCGTTCAACAGACATACATATAGCAACTTCATATTAGTTCTACACTAAATATGTGCTTCCATATCTTTTGTGTGGATAAAGCAGTTCCTCATTAGCTTTAAAAATAATAAATAACACCTTATTATCAGAAGACCAACACCAAAAGCAGCATGTGTTAAGGATTTTCAGCAACCAGACTCTAACACTGGTCTGACAGGATATTTACCTTTTCCTAGACAGTTAAATCAATTATCTCAGATAACATCTGCTTGTTTCTTCTGAACAGGATCCCTGTTTTCAGCTCTGAAGCCCCCTGAAATAATCTTCAAGGTGATTTTTTGGCTTGGCTACTTTAACAGCTGCTTGAATCCAATCATCTACCCTTGCTCAAGCAAAGAGTTCAAGAGAGCTTTCATACAGATTCTAAAATGTCAGTGCCACCGTCGAAAGCAGTTGGGATGGTGGGCCTACAGCTACAGGAACTGGAATCGGTGCTCCTTTGAACACCCTCGGAAGGACTCTCTGGAAGACAGTGGGAGTTTCCTAAGTGGCAGTCAGAGGACATTATCTTCAGCATCTCCCAGTCCTGGCTACCTGAGCAAAATCACTCACCCGCATATGGAAATGTGTACATTCCAGGAATGGAAAAACCCCAGCTCTTTCCTGAGCCCCTTACAAGAAGGCAGCAGTCAAAAGGACCCATGCCAATTCTTTACCTTCAATCTCTTAACAGAGCGAAATGGACACATTGCTGCTAGCAGCCAAGCCTCCAGCAACGGGGACCATGAGGACATCTGTGACACAATGAATGGTAAAACTGACTGTAGTGCAAACATCATGCTGGAATGAATGGATTCTAATTAGTCCACACAGATTCTGCTCTCTTCATACACCAACCTCTGATATTTATCCCAGGCGAAGAAATGGACCATTGCACAGTTCTCAGTATGGCATTAGAAGGAAGCCAGTGAGGAACAGGCAGATTACTGTCACAAGAATGGCAAAATCTAGAGGCTAGCCATATTTCTAATGAATTGTTAAAGATGCTACTGAAACAAATATGGAATGCAGAGAAGTGGCTGGATAAACCCAGGGCAGTACACAGCTAACTATTCAGCTACTGTTGTAGTGCTATAGAACAGCCAAGCACACATGTATATAGAAAGAATGTATAAATACAGGGGAGGGAGGGCAAGGGAAACGCGTATGAAAGTTCGTGTGTACACGTGTGCTAGCTGCATGTTTGGATACTTGAGAGTGGAAGTGAGCAATGCAGTTGTACAGTGTTGTTTGTACCTCTCCAGAGCACTAGCTGCTGCTGATTTTGCCTGCAAAATTCTGATTGTTGCTGTACTTCATGTACATGAGCACTTTAGAAATGGAAAACAACGTCAAAGATTAAAGTAATTTCGCAACAATTTAAGCACTTGCACCTATTACTATGGAGCTGGAATCCAATCAAGTTCCCTCCTCATAATGTCAATTTTAAAATAAAACACAGCAGTTAAGTTTAAAGTTGTAACTCCTAGGATGTTCTTGACACTATGCAGTTGCTTATTTGCCATGATTTCCTTATTATCAACAGTTGTGAATTCCTCTATACTTCACCATGTTCTATTTCAAAAGTTTGAAAATACCAGCAATGATGAGAGCTCACACTCTACATTTCAGCATGTCCTGAAAAATACACAGGCTATGGAAGATCTGATTTATAAAAGCAACACTCAAATTCCTCCAAATCCCTCATAAACAGTGCTGTGAACAGAGCAGAAAAGAGCACTGACCTCTGGAGGACCAAAACCGAGCTTAAAGACAAAAATGCTGAGCCGTTGGTCGTTTCAGCGCACTTTGAAAATAGTACTGCTCTTATAGAGTTGTTTTTTACTTTGCCAGTTAGATAAAAAGAGAAAGTATTAAAACAGTGCAGTAGTGATAGAATTTCACTGTCATCGATAGTTTTAAGCTCAGTAACACAGTACGTAACATAGTTCTGGAGAATATCTTCAAGCTCGTTTTAGCTCATGTTTGGATTTCTCGTCTCTTGCAACCAAGGGTGAATCACGAAACTAATGACTGATTTTTCTTTTATTTGAAGTGGTATGAAGTGTGAAAACAGGTATTTACTCCTTCCTTCAGCTTTTCTTCTTAAGAATTTTAGTGATGCTTTCGTATAGCTTGAAACAGAGAACAAACCATGAAGAAATGTACTAAAAACACTTTGGGACAATTTAACAATGTTAGGTCCCAATGGAGAGCCATTTCCTTTTGTTTCCTTAAATGTGTATTCACAAATTAAGACAATAGCGATGGATGCAGCTTGTGGTTAGATGAAATATCTCCCAGTTCAGTCAGCAAAGATAGGAAAGTCACATTCCAAGATCGTCTCGTGGTCAGATGGGATAGCGAGAACTACGTAAGTGCATTCCGAGTCTACTCTGGTCCCATTGCAGTTAAGGCAAATCTCCTATTTGAATAGTTCCATTTTGTTGTGAGGAGGGCTGTAATTTTTTCTTAAGAGGACAATGCTTCTAAAATTCATAAGCATTATAAAACAGATTTACAGACTTATTGCTCATATAATGAGATTGCCATAAATAATATTTTACCTACTTGTGATATGCTAATATCAATTTACCATTTTTGAGCCTACAAATGGCAGAGAATTATATTTTCAACCTTTCGCTATAATTTTTTTTTGGAGGGAATCTACAGAAATTTGTGAAACACTTCTGGATTTCGTAAAGCTTAATTGGAAATGAATTTCTTTAACCACCTAACAGCACAAGTCAGCCAGATTTTGAGTTACATGTGACTTATAAAAAAGTAAATTGAAGCAACTTTATCCTCATTTTACAGTTTCTATCTGATACTGGTGGATTTCAGAAAAAAAAACTAGCACTTCATTACACTAAAGCCTTTAACTATGTAGCTCTCAGAGACTAACAGTTCTTTTTATTAGATTCTAATTCTAGCAAGACTGAGAGAGATCTCTGATCGTTATTTAAGGGCCTCAGCAGAATTCTATAATTATCTACGACATCAGAGAGGCTTTTATCCCATACTGGGGTCACCTACCAGTATTTATAAACTCCATACACTTCTTATGTATAATGTTACAGAATCGACAAGGTAAGTTCCCTTACTGCTTCTTTAAAATTTCTACTAGAAGAAAAATCTCAATTATTTTACTACTGAAAAAACAGCTCTCTCTAAACATTCTAACAGGTCAGGAAGAAAAGATTTCCAATAACATCACGTTAGTCCACCCTTTTAGAATAGCCAGTGCCTTATTCAGGCCAAAATCCTCAGAGTGCCAAAAGTCCCAAAACAACTATTGTATAAAGCCTTAGAGAGAGGAGGTATGAAGGTGTTGCACAGACAGATACCAATATTTTTACCCCAAAAGATTTGTGCTATAAAGGCTACTAGGCCCTGCTGCTACAGCAGTATGGACACATTCATCCTTGCTGGAGCCAGAGCACTGCTGATCTTCGCATCGTACATCTTTTTAGCAGGAGAGACACATTTGAACTGCATGCAAAACATACATGGTTCAAGGTCCATGGGTTCTCTACCCTGCAGTGCTTCATTTCCTCAAGCCTAAGTCTTGCAAGTATGTGAAGTGCCACAACCTTCTTGGGACATGAATGTGTTATGCTGCCTTGACAAGAAAACAGGAAACAAAAGGAAGCTCTGCTTTGGATATCTCTGAAACAAGGGAAAACAAGAAGGGGTAAAGGCTTATTTACATTGAATGAATGTTGAAGTTGGAAATAATGAAAGGCAATCAAAACAGATATATTCTATCCTTTCTAAGACAGACAGGACCATCAGACACATTTTTTCTTAGCATGTTCATTAGGCTACATCCTAGGGGATCATCTGATATCTCCCTAGCATCAGACAGAAGTGATAAACTACACACTCCAGCACTGCAAACTGGGATAACAGAAAGAAGCAAGAATTAGTTTGGGCAGCACCTGGTACGTACTTCAGATATCATTTTAACAGATTAAACCTCATTCTTCATAACTTCCCAATTAAATTTTAAAATTAGAGAGCCCACATGGCATAACTGTAATAAATGCACGATGGATTCCTTATGTCGCTTTAAAGTATGTTTCACTTATGGAATATTTTCTTTCTTCGGAAGAGTCATGATAATATGCAGAACTTAATTCATCTCCAGCCACAGCTTCAGCAAAGATACAGACAACAACCATACTGATTATTAAAACAGAGAAGAAAAAAATACACGTATCTGAAGGAAGGACCACAAGGACTACAGCTGAGAAAGACAGACACACCAGCCTAAAATATGATACCCTTACGAGGCCACCTGACTTCTCAAGAATAAATCTAGCTTGAATGTCTTTTTTTTTTAGTACAGGAATCCTCTGTGACTATCAAGGCAAATGAGACCATTGAGGAGACCACAGAAATCATCTTTTTCAATCTTTCACCATGTAAAGCTCTAATAGGATAATAACAGCAGGGTTCTAAAGTCTTCGGCTACAGCAGATGAGAACAAGTCCAAATACAGCAGCCACAAACAAAGAAATAAAGGAAAAAGAGGACCTCAGAAGGCCTCAGATAAACAGGAATCTTCAACAAGGCATACCCTTAATTCCACTGCCAACCCTTAAATGAGGTCTGGGAAGGGGTGGATCCTGACTTGCATTGCATGCACCTGAGCTCCCCTGGGTTGGCCCTGCCTTCCTACCAGGTGCCCAATCACTGCTTCAGGCCGTGACTTAGCATTTCCACTACACACTTGTTGTAGTGTTTTCCTTCAAAGGAAGAATTATTTGGGTCAGGGCATTGTCACCAACGCTACAGGACAAGCCCGTATCAGCCAAATTTTTAGTACAGCTAGAATTCATTTGACAAGTAGAACATCCATAATTTAGTAAAATGGCAATTGGAACACCACTGCAGTCTATCAGATGAAAATACAGTCCATCATGCATATTTTTTTTCTGCCTAATAACCGACCTGCTCATGAACCCATTTTGTGGGCAAATAGATTTGCCCCCAAAGAGGAGTTACAACCATTTAGCACAGAAGTTGTTCATAAAACACTGTGAATTTCTCCAGGTTAAGCTACTGTGTGGAGCTTAATCACTAACTAGAGGCTTGTACAAGCCATTCAGTTGAGAGGCACAGCTGTAATGGCTTGCAGAGTATTGTTACAGCCCAGCTGCACATAAATTAAACCCATTAGGCTTCAATGCGCTCAGCTATCATGAAAGTGCTTCTTATTTTTGAAAAGAGTTATGGTAAAATCAATCTCACTGAATGAGACTGAAACTCTAGAGCATTTTACATTCCTTAGTCTTTGGAAATGCAGTTTTCTATTATCTTTCCAAATGCAACAGGAAGAGAAGAGGGGACATTAATATTATGAAGTGCGGCTTTACTCTGAAAATGTAAAAATAGCAACTGTATATTGAACAAATGTTCTCCCTGCTCTCAGTCATTGTACTTGACTTTCACCTGATACAAATTAGCATAAAATTGCACAACACAAGAGCTATGGTATGAAACTATTGGTATACCAACAACTGCTCATTCCTATTAGTGACTAGGAACTAGCCCACTCATTCCCACGAGAATAAAATGGATTTTCTTTCAATATGCTCTACAACAGCTACTCTTAACTTTTTTCCAAACCAAGTTTCAATGCTACAGCTACCATATTTCATTGGACAGAACATGGCACTATGAGGATGATACAATGAAATGTCAATTTCATCCTGAAGTTCTGAAAAGGAAATATTTCAGCTGCAGCTGACATGAACATGCATCATATTGGTTTTAGCAACTTTAATGAAGCCAAACAATGTTTCCATCCACTGAGACTGTTTTGGATCTGGAAGGAGTACTAGATGCCTTTCTAGAGAAGCATGTTCTAGTGCAAAATGTAAGTCATGATTCACAAAACCAGGAAAAACACCTGAAGGAGTAACAAAGTGGTCAGGGCACTAAGCTAGGAAAATTCCAACCTTAACAACTGCTTTGATGTTTCATCTCCTGGCTGTATAATCATAGAATCACTCAGGTTGGAAAAGACTTCAAAGACCATTGAGTCCAACCTAACCATACTAACTAACCCTAACTAACAACCCTCCACTAAATCACGTCCCTGAGCACCACCTCCAGGGATGGTGACTCAACCACCTCCCTGGGGAGCCTATTTCAGTGCTTAACAACTCTTTCTGTAAAGAAGTGTTTCCTAATATCCAACCTAAACTTACCCTGGTGCAAATGACCTTGAGGCCATTTCCCCTTGTCTTGTCACCCATCACCAGTGAGAAGAGACCAGCCCCACTCTCGCTGTAAGCACCTTTCAGACACTGAAAGAGAGCAATAAGGTCTCCCCGCAGCCTCCTTTTCCCCATACTGACCATTCCTAGTTCCTTTGGAATCTCTTCATAGGGCACATTCTCCAAGCCCTTCAGAAGCCTTGTTGCCCTTCTTTGGACCTGCTTCAGCACCTCAGTGTCCTTTCTATACTGAGGTGCCCAAAATTGAACACAGAACTCGAGGTGAGGCCTCACCAATGCCAAGTACAGGGGCAGGAATTACTTCCCTAGTCCTGCTCACCACACCATTCCTGATACAAGCCAGGATACCATTGGCCTCCTTGGCCACCTGGGCACACTGCTGGCTCATATTCAGCCAACTGTCTGTCAGTACACCAAGGTCCCTTTCCATCAGGCAGCTTTCCATCCACTCTTTCCCAAGCCTGTAGTGTTGCCTGGGATTGCTGTGACCAAAATGCAGGACCCGACACTTGGCCCTATTGAAACTCATGCAGTTTGCCTTGGCCCATTGATCCAGTCTATCCAGGTCCCTCTGTAGTGACCTTCTCCCCTGATCAGGCAGATCAACACTCCCTCCCAGATTGGTGTCATCTGCAAACTTACTGAGGGTGCACTCAATCCCCTCATCAAAATCATTAGTAAAGATGTTAAATAGAAGCAGTCCCCGTACCGAGCCCGGAACCACTCATGATCAGCAGCCAACTGGATTTAACTCCATTGACCACAACTCTTTGGGCCTGACCATCTAGCCAAAGTTTCACCCAGCAGAGTGTACAGCCATCCAAACCATGGGCAGCCAACTTCTCCACAAGAATGTTGGGGACAGTGTCAAAGGCCTTACTAAAGTCCAGATAGACCACATCGACAGCCTTACCCTCATCCACTAAGCAGGTCACCTTGTCATAGAATGAAATCAGGTTTGTCAGACAGGACCTACCATTCATAAACTCATAATAGAATCTGCAGAGACACTTCTCAGAGCAAAGAACAATAGTCCTTCCTTTCAGATGTCTGTGCACAACATTATGGCACATTATTCCTGGCATAATGCATCTTGAAGTCCCAGCTTTAGGTACTATAGAAGCATGGCTTCTATACCTTTTTCCACCATATCTTTTTCTCTAGATTTAAGACACTTCTCAAAGTGATGAGGAAATATAACCAGAGTCTCTTACAGAA